TTCTGGGCAGGGGTAGCGTTCACCTGGTTCTTCAGGGAGGTCAAGTGTTCAAACTTAGGGCTAGACCAACGAATGTCATACAAGTTTCCACTCCAGGCGACTAAATCCAGCTTCCAGTGGTACAGCTCCTCCAGGTGTATTTGGCAGTCTTTTTGAAGGCCTGCTTCAGCAACCTCAACACTCCAACTCAGCGAAAGATGTCCCACAGGCACTTCACAGGAGGCTTCAATCCCACCTCGCATGGCAAAATGCATGAAGAAATCGGTCTGAAAATACTCATCATCTGCCACCCAAACCAGGTCCAAAGGGAAGATGATGCATTGCACTTTGGCCATGTCCCCTCGATCAAGGCGGAAGGACCGTGTAGAGGGATGATGGACAGCTAAATGTTTGCTGTGAGCCAGCTCCATCTTGGCGCACTGTTTCCGGGTGTCCATTACATCCAGTTTCATGTCATCAGGCATGTTGCGACAGTCCAGTCCAAATTCTAAGAAGGCAGGCATCTGTTCCAACTCTGGATTTTGCTCATGGCAGTCATAATGCAAGCTGCTCACCTCAATGGTACAGCCGGTGCTCAAATTGCCAATGAAGAGTTGCTTTGTATGCGTTTGGGGGTCCAGCATCAAAAATGAGCCGTCGGACGTCGCAAAGGTTGTGAACAAGAGCTTTGCCCATGGCGAGGCCCGTGGCAACATTGGAATCAACTTTCTTGCTGCTTGCCTGCGCTGCTTTCGATTACTGTGGAAATCTCACCTCTCAAATTATAGCAAATTACTCAGGCCATAAAATACAAACGACAGGATGAACAATACAAGGAGCTGCAGCAAACGACAACAGCGACAAAGCCGATCATTCATACACAACAATCCCAGACACTCCATGTATGGCATATTTGCCACCCCATGGACCCCTGAAACCACCCCAACTGATCGGCAGTCCTATTAGTCGTGTCTGGGAATAGTATCGACATGTATCGACCACACGCGCGTGGGCTGCCATTGGACGCCCCGCAGCCGCCCGCGGCCTGCAGGAGTTGTTGGATCACCTGTGCTCCCAGCTGCACCGCACTGGTGCCTGCAGTGCTGAAACAAAGAAACAACGGTGACCTCGAGGAGAGACTCCACTTGCAGTTATGCAAATCTATATATTGTTTCTGGGGGTTCCCTTCTCCGGTCATTTCATGAAATATTGAGATGATGATCTGTGGTTTTCTAGGATATCGAGGGCAAACCGATTCAGGAAGAGATTTCACATACGAAGAGACTTATGGAACCCCTCATTCTGCTGAACCCTGGAAATCTACAGGGTTCTTACATGTTCTTACCTTAATGTCCACTTTGGTCTCTTACCACAAAAATGAACAACAATGAAAACACCACATACAAACAATATCAAACCATTCTCCTTGCAATCTCGCTTCTTTGCCGCTTTGGTTCAGAGCCACTGCAGCCCCCGTCCACCGAACCACGTGGCTCCGCGACGCGGAACCGGCCTGCCAGGGAGCCACCGAACTTCCCCACCGCCGTGCGCCTGGAGTTTGCCACCGGTTTCCGCTGTTTTTCCCCTTTCGGTGGCTTCAGCCGTTTCGGTGAAGTGATTCCCGGATGCCACTGAATTTCAATGACATGAAGATACGACTGGACCCCTCCAAATCCTCAATCAGTACTCCCGGACGCTCACCGTTCTAAAGAAACGAAGAGTGTTCCTGCGTGGAATCCCTTGCGTGGATCCATTGAATGACCGGTAGACCGGTGTCTGCTTTCGACCGAACACCGGGTACCCCGCCGCTAAGCGGATCGGGCCGGTCCATGTAGCTTTCCATGTCAGGAGTAGGACGTCCCAAATGCAATGAGATCCCAGCTTAAGCTCCACATGGGCGCCCACAGAAGGCGAGTTGTGAACCGACCTCTTGACACAGTTTTTCGGAGAGTGAACCGACCAGTGTGGGGTGGTCCATTCAATGGTGTAGGTCTATGATGGTCTGCCCCTTTGTTCCGAATCCCTGGGCTCTCAGGGTCAGACCTTCACAGCAATTCCAGGTCTCAGGGTCGGCCAGGTCTACTTTGTGGGCTGAACAAAGACGGACCTATGAACAAATAGGCCCAAAACACGAAAGAAAACGTCCATTACTCGATCAAACACGAACCAAAGAAGGCACCGCAATAAGACCCAAAAACTCTGATGGGACTGGAATATTTACCGACCAGTTGGGGATAGTTGGGGTAGTTTTAGATGCTTTAAGGGTCAAGTGTAGGTAAATAGTTATGTAAATAATTGGTGAATATTCCAGACCTGGACGGTCTGGGACACAGTTCCCCCTTGAAGCTCGGTCAGAAGAGACACATGCTTATCTCCAACATGATCGATACCCCTGGATACCCCAAAGAAATTCTGTAATACTCATCAACTCCTCCCTTTCATTCAATGTATATATATATATGGTGATTGATCAATATCCTTTCATCCTGGAATGGCCATTCTTCGCGGAAAGAAATGTCTTTCGCGGATCTTTCGCGGCCTCATCGCGAAGCATGGTCCCACAACCATGCCTGGCTAACATGAGCCGGAACATGTCATAGTATCACAAAATAGGGTCAGACATCTTGCAGCATGACCCCAGCAGAAGGTTGAACGTTTCCACAGCTACTCAGGGTCACTTGCGCGACAATTGTGCCAAACAGAATCAGGCACAGCTCAACCCAATCCTCGTGCCAGCTACCAACACTTGATGATGCAGCTTGGGGAATTTGGGGGGCCTGAAGCTGGGAACCTGGACATTAGCGGCACATGTGCGAAACTTTTGCGGATCTTTCGCAAAATTTCACTGCTTTCTCCGGGAAGCCGTAACATTTGCAAACATCTGCGCAGCCCGTCAGAGCAGCTGCAGGTCGTTGCCTCACTGTCAGGGCTGTGCCAACTCATGTTGCTAGTCTGTGACAGTGGGGACAGGAATCGGAGAATCCTTTACGCACTGCCAGGGCTGGGCACAGAAATGTTGAGGCTTCAGTTCGTTAGTCTGTGACATATGGGTCACTTCTGCCCACCGGCTCTGCCGGAGGATTGCCTTGTATTTCTATGCTTTGTCAGTCCGGTAGGAAGGAAAACATATGAAAGCGATGACCTTCGATAAATCGTTCGCGGAAAAAAACGACATACTTTCGCGAACCTCATCGCGAATCTTTCGCGTATGGTTCTAACAACATCTGAAAGGCTGTTTTATATAAATCTCCTTACACGGGGTTTTCGATCAAATCCCATATACGCAGAAAGACACAGAATATGATATGGACTATTGGACGATGATATGACCTGAATCCAGTCTCTGCCCAGTCACGCCCCCCACTTCGCACTGTCACGCCCCACTACCACCGTCTGTGTATCCACCTGGCGGCCACCACCACTACCTCCATGGCTCGCCCCGGTCAACGTGGTCTCCGGCTGAGCCCGAAGCAGAAACGGTACCGGGGTGTCCGAAGGTGCCGTGGTTCGGGTGGTGTCCGAATGGCTCTGGAAATGGTTGGTGAAAGTGGGGTTGATATCTAAGGCAATTGAAAAAACATAAAAAATAAAAGTGATCATTGTTGAACCATGTTGAACCCGACTGTTACAGGACGGACAAATCCAACCTCATGTCCCATGTTCGAACGAATGAAGTCGGGTCCATGGAGTGCATGCGAAGAAAGACACAGATGGGTGCAATTGATACAAAGCGCCACTCAAATGGACGATACTATACATCTCTACCATATCAATCGCATATCCCTAGGGCTCCTGTCCCATATCCTCAGGTTCGGTCGTTAGACCCCCCTGGCACCCACCCCAACCACCTTGTCAGGAGGTGGTTGGAGCCCTAGGGTATGAAAACCAAATATCTAAGTCTATGCCCACTATTGGGGCGATTCTTGAGATGGTTTTAAGGTCTTACTGTATACGTCTAGGTCTACAGTTAGTCGCATGGATGATCTTTGCGGTGTGCGGTGTTGTTGTGTTGCTGCTATCATCGTTTGTTGTTGTTGTTGTTGTTGTTGTTGTTGTTGTTGTTGTTGTTGTTGTT